CAGCAGCAGCTCTGTGTTCCCGGCCCCCCGAGCCGCGCAGGAAGGCTGAGAAGTGAGTGCCTGAAGCAAGGCGGCAGGCAGCGCGCCGGCACCGCTGGCTGCAGCTTGGGACGGCGCTTGGCCGCGCAAAACCCACCAGCTGCCGCCCGCGGGTTGCTGCCTTTCTTAGGTGCGGGGCCGGGCCGAGTCAGACGAAGGTGTGTACCTGCTGTGGGGGCATCATGGCCCGTCCCGCTGATATCCCCAGAACTGTGGGGTGCCCAGGCTCAGGCTTTGGCTTGACTTTTGTTCAAAAGCAGCTCTGGGAAATGTGAGGGAAATGTCGCTGTGTGCCAAGTGTTTTTTCTTTTCCCCTCCCTCTTGTATTTTCATTGCACGGATCTCCCTGAGTTGTCTCTCTGAGTGAGCTTGCTTTTTGTACAGCCACATCTGACATTGATTGTCCTTCAAATTTTTATGTAATATTCTGCCATGCATTACTTAAATAAGTTGTGTCAATAAAGTTGCATCCTTTCATGGAAAAGGATTCCCTCCCAAAATAGCTAGAGCCCTAACATGTCATAACATATTCATATAACATAACAATATTCAGTGTTACTCAGTGTTTCCTGTTTTCTGTGGTATCTGATTGAAGTAATAAAAGAGACGTTCATTTTGAGGGGCCTGTACTGATGTGAGTAGACCCACTAAAAGCCCATTCATGCAATTAAATAACCGGTGAACACAGCCTGTAGTTTTAGTTGGAGTTGCTAAGACTGGTAAAAGCCTCAGCCTCCTCATAAATCAACTGTAACACTTTTAGCTGTACATATATGGGAAACGTTTGGTGACAAACACAGCTGCAAACGTAGAACTTCAGTGTTCTTTGGGAAAGCAGTACTACCAGGCATAAAGTTAATTAAATTTTAAGCTTTATCTGGATCAGGGTTTCATAATGGTTTTATAGCAAACCTAGTCAGAGAAAGCTATACATTTTTAAAAGCCAATATTACATAAAAGCTAGACATCTGATTGGTAGAATTTATTGATATAAGGTCAAATTTAACTGGAAAATTTAATTCTATATTCAAATGGCATATGTTTTTTTTAATAGGAATAAAGAAAGTGGATGAATACATAGTATACTTTGCTAACTAGTCTTTGTGGTGGGTGATGCTGAAGAAATTTGAGATTTTCTTTTTTATGCTCTGAAATGGCACTAATCATATAATCTTGATCCTAGAAGACTGCACATGTACTTATAGCATCAGAAGATTATAATTCAACAGACTGAGGAAAACATGTTGATAATGGCAAATATCAATATCCCTGTGGAAGGATGATTTGCAATTACATAGATAAGAGAGTCCAGTTGGGACTGTGGCTGTGAGTCCTTAAAGAGTCCTTAAGAGCTGCAAGAGTCAAGGTTTTCAGACACTCTAAATAGTTCTGATGTGTTTTTAAGGTTAGTGAACCCGTCTCACACCTGTCGATGGACAGCTGAAGTTCAGTGGCTGGAATTAGTCCAGGACTATTACACAACAACAGCTACAAATATGCAAATATTATATTTAGCTACATACTCTTCAACACCCCTCCATCCTCTTTTTTTTTTCTGTTTTAATTTTTGTGGCATAGAGCCTTGATCTGTGCTCATGGTGCACAACATGGTGCACATTGCCACAGTGATTTTTCCTCTGCTTACAGTTTTTGTTTATATTGGATCCTACTCTGACATCAGTGACACTGGACTTCAAAGGTGTTTGTTCAGCACTCCGCTGCAAAAAAAGACTGGACTCAGAAGCTTTTACTGGGAGTAACTGGTGAAGAGATGATTAGTCCTTAATGTTTCAATAGTGGTTTTTGATTTTCTTTTTTTGGTTATGATTTCTATTTGTCCTTAAGATATACAAGCAAATCCAATTTCTCAAAATACTGAATTTTTATTGTCAAAAAACATGGAAATGTTAAGATCAGGGAGCTCTTGCACTGATGTGTGTGTGTGGATTTACATCTACAAGTCTATTTAGTATTACCAGGAAGTCTGTACGTAGCAGCCGATGAAGATACATGTAGCTGTCTTTTCTTCCTTTATGAACCATCTTCTATAATATTTTTAGTTGCTTGTTTTTATGATACAGAATTACCTTAATTGCACAACAGATTTCTCATCCAAAAAACACTCAAAATCTACATAAAAGACATGCTGACAAAAGCAGACAAAAACTTTGCAAAGCAGAGAAACAGAAGAAAGGCAAAAATAGATAAAATAGAGCATTTGCAGCTTAAAAAAAAAACCAGTGCTTCAGAATCTTTCCAGAAATGGAGCAATAATTGGAAACACTAAAAGGTAAAAGTAGAAAATGAGTAGTCAGGATTCTGAAAGATGTGAGATTTGTTTAGCAGCATGCAGTTACATGAGTAAAGGACAAGGCTGTCAGTTATGAGACTGCACTACTGAATTCGAGTATCGTAGTCCAAGAAAGAACAAACCTTTCAAAAGATACTGTTTTTAAGTGACAAAGAGAGAAATTTATGATACATTCTTAACATTTTTATGCTGTTGAGGTAACTTGGAAGAGCTTAAAGAATCCATAATTCAGTATCAAATTTTAATGGCGATCAATATGATAAGTCTGGTAGAAGACGTATGATGTAGTCAACTACATTTTTACAATGTAGTTGTAAAAATGAGGGTGGGAAAGCATGCCAGCCCTCCAGCCCGTATACACAAGAGCAAAAAGATTTTAACTAAGGCAGCAAACAGGGACAATACACAAACAAAGAAATTACAGTATTTTGTGCAATGAAGTATATTTCAGCTGTAGGTTTCAGGACTTCTCAAGTTGCCACTGTTCGGGGTCTCAGGACATGGAGCCTCTTCAGAAAGCTCATCAGAGCAGGGCTTCTGTGGCTACCAAGGCTGGCACATTAGCTGAGCTGGCATTGCAGTCCCAGGTTCTCTGTGTGGGTGGTGGACATGAATGTGTGCAGAGGAGGGACTTGGCCTTTATTTCCACATGGTATTGGGTGGACCACAGTAGGTGTGTGGTACTTTGGGTGGCCTGCTCGCCTTGTCCCCTGCTGTTTTAAGAGCGGAGGGCCAGTGACCCTTTTAAGTGGGGATATGTTGTCACAGGTGAATGTGATGCCTAATGTCTCGTTAAAGATTTTGGTGAGAAAAATGAGTCATATGACACAAATATGTGTCAGACTAGTCAGATAACAGGGAAATCATTTCTGCTGCAGGTGAACTCCACTGGCTGAAAACACTCTTCTTTGTGGGAGGTACAGGGAAGCATTGTGAGTGAACCCTGCGCTCACTTTGTTGTAAGAGTCTTTCTCTTATATCTTACAGGTAGTCATTTTGAGTTGAAAGAGACATTCTCTGAAGATAAAGGTACATCATTATTTCTTCTTGAAGACCTAAGTGGAACTCTGCTTTTCCCTTCTATTCTTCTGATTGATGATTCCAATAAGCAGGTATGATTAGAGGTTAATATTTTGAAAAAAAAAAAAGTGTCCTTTCAAAAACTGATGCTGGACACACTCCCCATCCTTAATGATACTGAAAAATACTTATTTTACAAATTACTCCTTACTCAAATATCATCTCATGAAAAACTTTATATAAACATCAGGTATTACTCTTTTAATAAGAGTGTTCAAGAATTACCGGGGATTACTAATGTTTTCCTTAACTAGAAACTGACATTGATTGCATCTATCTTAAAGAAAGCCTTACAGGAAAAGTCAGCAACGATGTTCACTAATTGCTTTATTAAAAAAAAAATCTTTCTTGAAACAGTGCAGTGTGCTCATCATTGCAATGTTTGAGACTGTCCTACCTTGAGACTGTATGTCCTACAACTTAATAGTGCCATGAGTTTCTTCAGGAAACTGGGTTAAATGTGAACAGCTGATGAAATTTGTCAGAGCCCTTAAATACGATAGAAATATTAGAATCAGCTGCAAGGGCAGCTGTCACCTCTTGATTATTGTCAGATGATGAGTGGACTCATTCCACAAACCTTTGAACAGGTGCAACCTAGGCAGGTTTATTAAAACATTGTAACGGTAAGTGTTCAAGTATGTGAGGCATTGGGCTCTGATGGGCTGACCACAGAGCTAGAATACATTAAAGATCTGAAGATGTTAGTTTGGTCCAGTAACCTGAGAACCAATGTACAAGTCTGAGCTACTCTTGAATGCACTTAAACTGATGTCTTTCAGGGAGGACTCAAGTATCAAGGCCAGGGTTATTTAAGACAAATCCGTTTATCATGATAGCAGTGTAGTGATTTTGGTCGCAAACTTGCTGAATTTTGTGTGTACGAATGAATCCACCACATTGTCCACATTAGGACTTTACTAATTAATTTCTACAATGTGTCCAGTAGCCTTTGCTTTTGGTACAAAGATGGAAGGTCAGACAGTTATGAATGTTGTCTGACTTTAGAGTGGGGAGAATAAAAAAATGGTTGACTGTTTGACTTCTGGATTACTATATTGATTTTTTGTAGTGTGTTGAGGACAGGACTCTGAACCTTTTCAAGCATTTAGGAGGAAGGACTATTTCCATGAAATTGAATTTAGTAAGTTTTTGGCGAACTGTAGCAAGATCCAGTGCAATACTGCAACCTGACTTGACAACTCAGTATTTGTCTGGATGATAGCGCTGTTAAGGATATTTTTTTCAATCCAGACTTTTGCCTGGAGGAATGCAGTAGCTGATACTATTTTATGGTAATAGACATCAAAAATGGCATCTGTGTTTGGGTGTGACTTTTGAAGAACAGCCTTTGTGTCATGAGGGCATTAAAACGCTATACTTAATACAGGGGTTTTACCTCATTACCTTCTGGTGTGTACCTGTAAGGAAAGACGGCACTGTATCTCACGGGTCCTGTGCATCATTTCTGAAATGGTTCTCTTCCATACTGTGTCAGAGAAGAGGTTCATGCTTCAGGAAAGTCACTTATTAGGCAGTGAGTGGGAAGTGCATACACAAAAGGCAGTTTAACAGTCATGTGCTATATGCATGCAAAGAGAAGGATCTTGTAACAAAGCATAGTGAGAATAGGAAAGGGTACATGCATTATGAAGCAGAGAAAAAATAAGTGAATATTTTTATAGTTACAATCCTGTATTATGGTCAAAAAGTCTTTGCTAAATCCCTAAGACTATGATTATGTTGCATTATAGTCAAATTTGTGTCAAATAGAAGTGTAAAGAACTAGTCCTGTTAGCAGAACAAGGGCCGCTGTATAGTCTCTTGTTTTTCCAGTTTATTGGAGTTTAGGGAAAAGAAAAATTGCTAGGAGCTAGCCAGCAGCATGATCAGCTGATGTAAGGACTTTACACGCTGGAGTGTACTACTAGTAACAAGTACTTGGTGTGTTCTTTCTTTGTGCTGAATGCTTTCCATGGTATTTATGGCTTTGTCTCACTTGGTAACTCTTACAGCTCTTTTATTTCAACATCACTTCATCACTTTTTATGAGGAAAAAGCAAAAAAAATAGTGGTTTTAAATGTTCATGTTGTTTATCATTTTATTGTGTGTTTTTCCTTTTGTACTCTAACTGCCTCATCTGCTTAGCCTGGATTTTAAGCTGTGGGGGAGCGATTATTTCTTATTATTATATAATGCCAAGCACAGTGGGTCCATTTTTGAGTATTCTTGTAATACATGCTTTTCTTCTAAATAATGAAGTGATATAAGGTAGACCTTAGGGAAGAATCTGACTTTGAAACAATTAACACTTTCCATCTTATACACCCCAGGTGGGTATAGCTGACTGAATCCTCTTGCTCTAAGAAGAGGCGCAAGGGGCCTAGAGCAGTGATACTTGAACAGAAGCCCCATCTGCAAAAGTGACTATAGGTTGGAAGGTAGGAGTATTCTTGCAGTGAAAATAAACTGGAGTTGAAGGAATTGTTTGAGGCAAACAGCGGAATGAACTTGAAAATAATGGTCAGGCCAAAATAAAATTCTTAGTCAAGTGTCTCATATGTGAAGGTTTTAACATATTCCCCAACAACTTTTAGAAAATGTGTTTAAATGCACATACTTTAAAAGCAGAAATGTACCAATTTTAGTATTAGTTAAAGTATAGTGGTGCTATACTTTACTATACCTAGCTGTATAGTTATTTCCTTTTATATTGTTCATAGAAATTTGAAACAAAAGTCTTGATCAAACATCTCTGCATCTCGGAATGTCTGAAGCTTTCTTCCAACTTCTGCAGACTGGATCTATTTCTAGTTTTAATCATGGTCAATGATTTCATTTCAGTTAGAAATCTTTTAATTTATAAAAGTGACATGAAAACCCTCAGACAGGCAGTGTGTTGCAGTAGGAGCAGATTAGTTAGTACTGAGGACCTGACATCTACATAATAGGCAGGTTATTTAGCTGTTTTAATTCAGTGATCTGAGGTCCCAGTAGTGATTGGTGTGTACTACCTGTGTTCCTTGAGAGCCTGTTCCGGCACAGTTTCATCCTAATGGACACCAGTTTGTGCACTGAGAAACTGTTCTGTAATGTGAACCAGTAAGTATGTAAGAGTGATCAGGGAATTATTCCAAAACGCTTCTGATGTGAACAAAAATGTTAGCATTAAAAAACAAACAAACAAGCAACCCAAAAAACCCTTCCATTTTGTTTACTGTGTGAAGCTAATAATGCTTTTTGAAAAATTACTTAGCATTCCCTATGTATGGTTAGTTGCAGCATATGCTTGCATATGTAACAGAAAAATTAAAAAGTTATGGAGCAAGTGGAACAGCACAGTTTCTTTTAATTGCTTTTAAAACATTTTTAGGTTTCATATTGTTCATAATGCTTCAGTATTACCTAAGAGAGCAAAAGCATTTGCCTTAGAACAATTGATGCAAAAGCAACCTGTCTTTAATCCATATACCTTCAGACACAGTTTTTGGCAGATGTGTTTTGAGAATTACTACTTCATAGAAGTTTTTCAATTCTCCCAAAATAGCACTGCTATTTCACACCTGTTGATCGACATCTGTAGAGTCCAGATAACAAGCATGTGAAGTCATACTTAGTATCTTTCTGTCTAAAAATAAATGCCATAGATCTCTACAGCTTGTATATATATTTATATATATATATGTATGTATATAAGAAATCTGGACATAGCTGTGTGACATTGTAGCATCAGGATTTACTATCAGGATTTACTGGCTATGCCATTCTTAAGCCAGTGGATAAAGTGGACAGTTCTTTAGCTGGACACTTTGTAAAGGAATTGTTCTGGGAACTACTGACACCCTAGTGAGACAAAAATGTGCCCTTGAACATGAGAGTTCCTGTGTCTTTAATTTCCCCAGACTGAAAAGACTGTAGGATGAAATTCTTTGTTTTTCTTCTCTATCAGGATCAAGGATTTTATAATTTGCATGAACTGAAAATCTTTGTTTTCTGCATATTACTGTAAAGGCTTTCACATTGGGTTGATACTTGCAATTAGATACGCTTACCCTCTCGTTCTGTTAATGTCCTCTCCAGCCTCTCAAAATAGCACCATGTCATGATGCAATGCAAACTGAACTTCCTCAAAGATTTGGCATCAGGTCGTGTTCTGTGACTTTGTTTTAACCTGACAGTTTTTGTAGCTGTATTCCTGAGAGTGTATTTGTCCTGTTAGAGGCAATTTCTGGTTTTCAGTTTTTACAGCACATGTTTCTAAAATATTCAGTTTTAGAAAGTTAATTATGACCAGAATATATATTTAAATGCTTAATATTAAAATTGTTCCATTCCTGCCAGAGGTTTTGATACATCTGAGGCATACTCCTCTGTTGAATATGCCAAACTTCTATTATTGTCAAGTCACTTGACACTCACACTTGCTCATTTCTCATAGCAAAGGGGAAAACAAAACAAAACAAAAAAACTCAGAATGTTAATCATATGTAGTAGATTTATTTTAACCTTCAGTCACTCCACAAAGAAATGAACATTAAGCAATTATTTTAAAACGCCAATGACATTTCAGGCAAAACAAAATAGACATTATGTGCATTATGTGCATTCTTACCCTCAAAAAGGATTTTCAGATTTAGTTTATGGACTTTATCAGTAGAAAAATATAAATACTACATATAGCCTCCTTGATGTGTGAGGAACAGAATTATATTAAGGTGTATCAGTATCTGCTTTTGTTACACAAACATGACTGCAGTGATACACGCATTTTAAAAATGTCTTAATTCTGAAATAGTGCTTGAAAACATTGACTATGTAGACGTTGTATTTCAGGCTTTAGGAAACATCTGTTTTTTTAGAATAAATATAAAGTATATACAGCTTCTTATTTTGGTTTCATGTTTTTCTTATGTTTTAAGCTTCTTATATTGTAGAATGGGAAAATAATGTAGGATTGTTTGCCAGTGAAATTGTTCATTACTAATCTATTAATCTTGTACACTTGGTATAAAACTTAGTGGATTTGCCCAAGTTTTAATTTAACATTTCTATTATAAGAATTGAATGATTCAGAGGCAAAAAGTACTATTTTCCACAGAAAAGCTTTTACATTTACTTTCATTCTTAATTTACAGAACAAATTGTTTTCCATGAACAATAAATGAGTGCCTGTGCCTCAACAACTTTCTGCTAAGTGAAGTGAAAGCTGATTTCATTGCATTTTGCAAATCATTAAAACAACATAGAAGTTCTATTTTGCTTTTTACTAGAAGTTTTTATTATACTAGCCCTTTTATTGCATTAATTAATTCCTTATTACATTTCTTGCATCAGAAAATTAAGTAAATAAACTCCACATCCAAAGCAAGGTAAGCACAGTCTATGTTTGGCACATTAATAATGAATAATAAATGGTTGAAGCAGACATAACCAACTTTTTTTCGTTCTCTTCTGGCAAAACAGCTGCTTTCCTAATGATCTGTCAGGTGTCTTAATTTGGTAGGGCCCAGCCTGTAACACAGTGAGGCCTTTAATGACTGTGATGTTTGCACAGATACATAATTTATGTTAAAAATAATGTCTTCATTACTTATGTATGTACCATAGTAACTATTTAAGACCTCAGCTGCTTCAGTGTTTTAATCCAGTACAGCTGTTATCAGGGCTCTTTCTGTTAACATTCCATTGAATTATATTGTCATCTCTAAAGATAATACTTCAGCAGAATCTTACTGGTATAATTATACTACTGCTGGTTAATAGACTTCCATTTCGCTCTGAATGCCGTAAGAAAAGGTTTTAAAGCTATTACTTTGGATTCAGACAGAAGTCCTGACAGTGTATTGCTGTTCTAAGCTGTTAATGACTTTTTGTGTGCATGCATATATTTGTGTGCTAATGTAAGACTAGCATTTGGGGTAAACAGTAACTGCTTCATATCCCTCTGGTGGTCGCATGCGAGCTCGTGCATGAGCTTCGCAGTATAGTTGTCCCTCCACAAAGAAGTAGCCCTTTTGTTTCAGGTTTAGATTGCAGTCAGAGCACACAAAACATTCTGGGTGTCGGTACTTATCACGGGCCTTCACCACCGTCCCTCTATTTGGAAACAATAAAAATTAAAAATAAAAACATTAGAATTTTAAGTGAGAAGAAACGACAATATGACAAAATATAATTTCTAAGTATTTATGTTCAGGCGTTTAGGTAATTCATCTGGTAGTTCTGCCAACTGCTGCAAACATATTTTAAGGCTGAAAATTGATTCTGAATAAGTGAGATATAAAATGCCATAAATATTTTGACATAGACAGCTCAATAGTTCATTGGAAAGCCAAATCTGAGTTATAACACAGAAAGTATAGTCTAAAGAAATCGAAAGGTGACAAAATGAGTTTAAAAAACATTTCCTTATTATGGTCTGAGCTCATCTGTAGGTTCAAAGTAGGCTCAGAAAGCATCCTAGAAACTCTCACTAGATTGTCAGAAGGATACTTTATGCTATAAAGCAATTTTGAGAATCCATAAACTGCATGTTACATGTTTGTTACATATATTACCTATTTAATACAGTTAACTGCTGGTTTCATTCTCTCTGTTAAACTGACTTGCAAAAGGTCCTCAGGCATCTTAACTGAAGCTTTAATAGTACGTCACTGGGACTGGCACATCTGCATTAAAAACATGTAAGGTCCAGGCTTATGAACACATTACATTAGAATTGTCCTAATGCCTCTGTGCTCCAGACTCATTTTTCTACTAGACTGAGATCACACTTGGAAAACATTCGTTCAGTTAGTGGTGGTGTTTTTTTAAAATTTGTGCTTAAACTAGAGATTTTTATAACTAAAAAGGAGCAACTTACAGAATGCCATTTCCACATTTGTCACACAGTGGCACTTTCTGGACACTTGCTGTACCAGTAGGTATCTTCGTTACAGGTGCTTTCACACTTCTTGTACCCATAGGACGTCCCTCTGAGAACCGAAACAGTTTGAAAATATTCTGGTTTTAGTTACAGGCTTTCATTTAATCAACTAACTATAAAGTTACTCTATATAAGTTTAGTAGCACAGATCCCATGCCTTTGAAATTGGGAAACAGATTTTGTAGCTGCAGCAAAAAGAGCAGCAACAGCAGTGACTATTAATAAAAATCTCTCTGTGACCAATCTGCCTTCCTTCTTCAAGGCTGCCTCATGGGCATCTTCTAACCAGCTACCTGTCAGTAGGCCTTTGGTATAGCAAGAGACGTATAGAGAAATACATATAGAGAAATAGATGCATTTACCCCTTCTCTGGTAAAAAGATGCAAAATCTTGTATTTGGATACAAAATTTAAAAAAATAAGTACCTACCTATTAGAATAATTTTATTTATATTTTATTATTTACACTGTTTATAAATGCAACAAACTTGTAGCCTTTAATAATGTTCCTCATTATTTTCAAAAACCTCATAATTTTGAAGAACTGTGACTGTAAATGTTTTTGCTGTCTTCAGTTATTATTTGGAATGAAGAGGGGATATGTGAAACTTATCTCAGGAACTGGTCTAAATTCTGTTTTCCTGGATGTGGGAGATAACTTTTTCTCCTCCTACCCCCAATCATGGGTATATGCAGCTTGTTGCTATCATTCAGTTAAAATCAGCTTTATATTTTAACAGTCCTAAAACTCGAGAAGAGAGTCTGAATTTTTTTTTAACACCCCCATTTCATTCCCACAGCTATGAGAACAAAAGGAGAAAATTAGGATGCTGGTGTATTATCTACCATAGACTTGGGCTTTTAGAATTTTTTACAGCTCTTATCTCCCTTGTTTTCTTCTCAGACTCCCTTTTCCCACACACATGTGGGAATAATGCTTTGAACATAATCACCTTCTTCGGAGACTAAATTCTGGAGCACTTTAAAGGAGCCAGACTGGCGAGGCTGACTGGGCTCCTCCTGGTTGGCATGCAGCATCCTGTACACGTCAGACTGAGGTATTGAGGTGGGAGCCGGGTCACTGCATCATAGGGAGGAACAGCAAATAAAACAGTTATCAAACATAACTTTAAAGCAGTAGCTGTACCAGGCACAGAATATGATTTCAGTTTCTAGAACTACTGAAAGACATTTTTCCCTACCATAGTGTTGCTTGCGTAGTCCTCTTGTGATCAAATTTACTGAAAAAAAGGTAGCTGTGGAATTCTAACAAAGATAAACCTACAAACCCAAGACAGTATTTCTGTAATTGCTATTCTGGCTCTAACGGCTGCTTGAAATATGCCACGACCTGTTGCTAAACCTCAAAGAGGTTGCATTCCTGTGATCAGCTGCTGTACTACCAGTTGGCCTTTTGTGCAGTATTCAAAAATCCATTTTCAAAGCAGTTGGCCTCAGCAACATTGCTAAAGTCACAGCTCATAGCTGTAGATGGGACCAGCCAAAATATAAAGAAACAAGTCTTTTGGAAGAGTATCATGATGTTGAGGTGTTCTCACTTTTGATTCAATCGCCGATTTGGTTCAATCACTAGTTAATACAGTGATTATCTGACTAAGATAGTACTTACTTGGCTTAATGGTTGAGTTTCCATTGACTCTTGAGCTTATTCTTTATAAGCTTTTATGAAGAATATTTCATGGTATATTAAACTGTGTTACATGTGTTAAAATAATCACAATAACTAACATTTTGAGGGGAAGAGCAGGTGACTACATGTACTGGTGGAATTAGCCTGAACACATACCATCTGTAAACATCTTACTGCCACTGGGACTAATTAGAAAGGTAAAAATACACTGGCTTTTGGCTTACATGGCTCTTTTTTTCTTTCTTTTTTTTTTTTCCCAGGGTAGTATCTAGGCTAACATGACACAGTAATAGCATCAGGAGTTTAGCAGCTAGGTTAGGACCCCTAGTTGGTTGTGTTAATTCTTTTAATCTTCATTACTAACCAGATTTCACTGAGTCATTTTGAAACAGGTTAAGGAAACACCATTTTTTTCTATCATTACAAGCTTGTAATCTAAAGAAGTTTTCTCTTTAAAATACCCACCAATATCCTAAAAGTTAAACTAACACGCAATATATAATTATGTACAAAAAGCAAACCACTTACCAGACAGAGTTTGAAATAACCTTTCAAAGTTCATAAGTAATGAAGGAGTCCCAAAACAGAAGAAACACTTCAGAGCTAACAGAGTCAATTGCCAAACTGGGAATATCATAGGCATTTGTGAAATCTGATTACTCTGACCTTAATGCTTTATTTCAGAATAAAGAAAAAGCAAGTTGGCTTTTTTTTTGTCTTTAATTTTTATGATTGAAGCTAAATAATCATGCAGTAGAGTAATATAACCACTCTGCAAGATTTCATGAATTTCAGCACTGTTTTCACGAGATCAGCATAATCTTAACTACTTCAATGTAATGTTGATTTTTATGGCTAGTAACAACCAAATCTGCAAGGTGCCGAAGAAGACTCTCTGGTGCCAGTGATTAATACTTCTTACTTAACGTGCCAATAAGTAATACTTCTTATTTAAACAATTAGTAGTTAGCTTTAGTTTATAACATTTACATTATAAATGATTAACTTAAATACTTTTGTAAAACACAAAAATAAGATGGTGCAAAAGTTAAAATAATGTGAATGGTGCTTTGAAAAAAAAATAAGAAAGGATAGAGTTTTAGAGTTTTCTTTTGTCTGATCTTCATCTTTATCTACACAAGGTTCCTACCTGACTTATTGCGGTGGGTAAAAATTGTAAATCAGCTTTTGACAATTACAGATATCAGCTAGTAGTCCTAGAAAGTCAATTCTGGCTCTTTTTGCCTAAGAACTAGTGGTATGGAATGAGTTGTCCTGCGTGATTTTTAAATAAGTAACTAGGATACTATTAACATCTACAAGATATTCAGAGATTCATAACTTATATTTCAACAGTTCAAATCATTTGGATTTAATGCTATTATTTTTATTATTAATAATAAGTCATTAAATTGTTTTTAAATAATTACTGATTATGATAAGAATAATAAATAGTTGTAAAACTGGGGGGGAATCAGAGTCTTGATTTGGAGTTGTCAGTTAGCAAACAGTCCAGGTAGTACCATCAGTTTCTATAATTAGCTACAAGTACAAGGTTATTGCATATGAAGTATTTATTGGCAATATCAAAAGACTCCTTAAATACTTTGGGTTAAAAAAATTGTGAATTATTTGTATTTCAATGCAAGCAATTTAGTTTCTCTATAATCCTTTCATACATTATCCTAGAATCAGTGTAATATTATTAAAGCTCATGAATTTTTGTATGTTTTAAATTTACATATTCATAACTATGAAACATACTGCTCTAATTACCTCATTATGGGTGTTTCCCCCAGAGCTGTAGAAACTTGGCCTTGCAGTGTTTCCATGATATTGTCATCTGAGTACAACTGCAGAGGTGTGTTAAACTGGGCATGTACAATCTTGACACCGGGAAGTTCCATTTCCAGGGGAATGTTAGGGGCCATCCTAGATACTGCTTTCAGCTCCGTGGGGCAGATGGAGCTAACAGTGCTAATGGAGGAGGGAGTGCTGCGTCCACTGCCGCAGTCAATCCCCGAAGGAGTGCTGCATCCACTGTGTTAATAGCCAGGTTACCGAGCCGGGGGCAGTGCATACCAGATTATACACAGAGAGAGAAGAGTAAAGGAATATGGTGATGTTAACAAAGCTGAAAACATACACACACAATAGAACAGATAAAAAGCAAAAGTGTAGAAAATAGAGAAAAGCAAAAGTATGTTTAGTCACTAAAAGTATTTTCTTGTAAAAAGTATCAGTGTCAATTATAAATTATTTCTTAAAATTCTGGTATATATTTTATGAAGAGACAATTCAGAAGAGAAGATTACTTTGCACTTTTAGTGCTAGACTTTCTTGGAGAGTTGATTAAGTCTCTCCAAAGCTCTTTGTTGTAGATGAGTAATTCTTAACATATCCGGATGGGAAAAATGAGCTTATGCGAGTTGTCTGTATCAGTGACAGAACAAACACATGCATCACTGGAAACTTAAACATATCAGTCCTGTACCTAACAAGCCATCTCAGTCCATAGTTGAAGAGACTTCTAAAGTAGTGCAAAATAATGTGTTTGACTTCTACCTGATTTCTTTAAAGTCCACAATAAAGTATTTCTTAATCTTGTAAAGTTAGCTTAACAATATACTCGCAATTTTTAAATATTTGTTGAATTTGTAAAGGAGAAAAAAATGTTGGAATAAACAGCCATACTTTTGCATTTCTAAATTACAGTGTTTCCAATAGAATGAAAAGTGGCCCTTCACAAGAACAGTGAGTGTAATCAAAGAACTCATTTTGGTCAGACCTTTTTAAGGTCTTCTGAAGGCTTTTGAAGTTGATTTTTCAATATTTTGAAGTATTTTATATATTATAAGGGATGTGCTCTTTTAGAAAAATAGTAATGCTACCCTACACACTGAAGTACAGTTACTACACACCAATTTAATATCTCTGAAAAAGGACTAATAAAGTAATGTTATGACCCTCCATGAAGATTCAAGTATTTTTCAGTGTTAGCATTTTGAACACTTGACTGTTTTCTCCACAGCACCTCAGAGGCTTTTTTCATTCAGACATATTCATTTCCTATAACTATAAAAATGCATAAAGCAGCCTTTAAACAATCCTATTCAGAGCTGCAGGATGATACATGACTTAACCTTTTTGCTCCAACCTGCATACTATGGTTGCAGTTGGTTTTTTCCAAAGTAATCAGTTCTGTGTAAACTAAGCAGAATCCTATATTACACAGTTTGATAGTCCAGTATAGTCATTCCCAATAATCCTTCTGAGTGGAGAAAACCCCAAGTTCTGCCTTTGATTCACTGGGGAATTTGTGTGGAACCACTTTCTCAAAAATGTAGAGGGAAATACATCCTCTACCTTCAAAGGCATATCAAAAGACAGTTAATTCTAGAAAAGACAAGCGGATCATAAACCAAGCATACCATTCTATTTCATCAGCAAGCATAAGCCAGCCAAAAAGATAACACAGAGTAATTTGTAAATTTATAGGTTTCCTTTTTTCTTTTGGAAAATGAAATCCACCAGTAAAATAAGTTTTGTCAGTGCTGATAGTGTTAGTAAGTGGAAAATAGTAGGAAAAAGCTAGAAGAGGCATAACCATTGTGGTGAGCAGCCAAAGCAGCGTTAAAGCAGAGTAAGATATAAATAAGATAAAATAATATATAAAATAACTGCCACATACTTTTGTCAGAATAAAATCTAAAATTGTCGCTAATGCCAAATCTGTTAGCTCAGTCCCAGTGTCCATAATAAGGTCTTCTTTTAGTGAAAGTCCTATTTTCATCTGGCCTCGGCTGTCCTACAGAGACATTTAGTGAAGATGGAGGTTTGTTTTTTACTGTCTTTGACAGAGGATATACAATAAGCCAGGCAGGTGCAAAGACAATTGAGAAGCAGTGACAACTGCTGCTTTGCAAATACAGCATTCTTCATTGGAGATTTGGGAACTCCTAAATACAGATTTTTACAAAGTTAGAGCACCTTGCACATCTTACTTAACTAAGGTGCTGAAAGTTCCTGCATTTGTCAGGTTAATTTTTGCATTTTTTTTCCCATGCTCGAGAATGACCATCTGCTTACATATTTTCACTGAAAATGCTGGGTACCTAAAAGAGATTTCTAAGTTAGGACATTAGGTGCTGACCAACCCATTGGTACCTAATAGTCCAAAAGTCAGGTGAGTACATGTAGCTGCCACTCAAATTTAGAGGTCATGTATCATAACCAGGCTGCAAGGAGATACAGGTGCTCTTTCTCCACTGAGAAACTGGACTGTTGGTTCTTCTCCATGGATAGAGACCCAACCCAGCTGCTATAGTCTCTTCTTTATCACACAGATGCTTGAAACATAATACATTTCACAAAAACTCTGTAAGAGGTTGTCTATTGTACATGAAAATCAATTATCATCATGATTTTTTGGGGGCCAGTTCATCAGACTGAAATTAGTGTAACAACTTCAGACATTTAGAACCTTCAGCATGACATGTGGAGCACTGAATCCCCTAGGAAAAACCGCAACTGCTAGAAAAGATAAAAGATCCCATCTTAGTATAGATATAGGATCACTCAAGCACTGTTGAGCCCGCTTGCCTTTATAACCACAGAGGTTGCATTGTTTCCCCTCTAAGACTGTAAAAAAATACTGTGTTAGGCATTTCACCCCCTAGCACTGTTGAGCCCGCTTGCCTTTATAGCCACAGAGGTTGCATTGTTTCCCCTCTGATTCTAAGACTGTAAAATAATACTGTGTTAGGCATTTCACCCCAGTTATGATAGCAGAAAATTACACTAAAAAGATGGACCTAAGTATGTAAGTTTTTCTTCATTTAAGAACTTTGCAGACATGTGGCATCAGATAGTAGTGCTATTTTAGGTCTGCATCAGCTTGCCTTCTGAACAGGGGAGTCTGCTGAAGAGTAAACTTGGCACCCTCTGCATGGTCAGATGATAACTGATATAACTAGCTATCTTTTATTTTGCATATTTACAAATTACATATATTCCCACTTGGACAGAAGAATGTTTAGTTCCATAGTTTTCTAAATATGTAATATTCAGTGTGGCACTGTACTATAAAATGAATCAAGTACAGTTATTTCAGACTTGTGTCAGTATAAATGAGATTAGAATCTGGACCTGCTTTCTTTTGGAAAGAGAATTTTGAATTTCAAGCCTGATCTCTGCAAGTCAACAATTTTCTTCATTAGGACTTCAGCATTTCTTTACTACAAGCTATTTCAGTACTACAAGCTATTTTCAAATGCATCCATATTTTTTATTAATATGAATTGTGAGTATCCGTTAAAAAATAACACCATGCATCCAAATCCAACACAGCACTCAGAGTTTATAACCTGCTTCGGCCTGAGACTATGAAAGGTTTGGGCCGAATGTTATGCTTGTGTTCAAAGTAGTTCGTATCCTGAAAAGAAAAGAGGGTTAAAGTAACTTCCTTTAGCCTATAAATGCTTATTTCTAGATAAAAAGTAGTTTCCAAATTCAGAAAAGAGTAAACATGAAGTAATCATGTTTATTTTTTACATTCCTGGTCTCCAAATATAATCACTTTTGTATTCAGAGACTCCGAGTGTAAGATGCAAGGATGAAACATAGTGCTGCAGCCTAGTTCAGAGAGCAAATTTTAGCTACCTGCAGAGTTGCTATCACACAGCTGAATGTATCATTTTCAGTGCGGGGGAAAAAAACCAAATCTTCGCTGATCACCAGACTCAGTTAGCTCCTGTTTATCAGCAAACAGCAAGAGCTGGACTTTTTAACTGGAAACAAAACAATGCTATTAGCACAAAAGAGCGTATAGTATAAGTAAACGCCAGTACTCACTTGGGAGATGAGTTAGAAATGAGCCCCCTCAGTTGTCCGTGAAGCGCATCTTGAATATTGCCAGATGAATAGAGCCCAATTGGAGAGTTATAGGAGGAGCTCACTACCTGTCTTTTGTCATCAATATTTGCTGCTGCAACAAAAGGCTGGGCCCTTCTGTTGTGAGCTGTACCAATAGGCTTGAATTCCTGTACATAATAGGCAGACAAAATACACAAAGCTACAATGCACACCAAAGCTGGCAATGAGTAAAACTGACAACATCAGTTAATCTGTTAATCTCTGCATTTTTCTATTTTTGCAACTCTGTTATATTTTAACTGGTGCAAGCATACTATACGTTTTCCATTAATATTCTATATGCTACGTAAGCCATGTGCATTCAGAGATTATTATTTTTCAGCCTCAGGACAAACAAAAGGCCTTCAATGTTTGTGAACAGTGTCAATTTTTAGTAATTTAGCAGGAAATTTAAGAGAGGAATACTATAATAACCTGTCGTAGGAGCACTGTTCATTAGATTTGATAGTTTATTCTTGTAGAAACATTTCATATATAGTTAGCATAATTGCTTCCCTTTATGGTGCTGTTTCTGCTGTTTTGTCCTACATTGGTGGACATTTAGCCGCAGTAGTCTTGAATAGACTTCAGATTGATGCCATCTTTCTGTATGCCTTCCTTAATGAAATGATTCAGTACTTTGAGGTTGATCTGTGCATCAAAAATTGTGATGCTGCATAATTCAAAGATAATATAAAAATCATTGTAGAAAAGATCATACCCAGGAATGGGTAACTGGGAAATCATTCTGCCTATATTTCTGTTTTTTTTTTTCAGTTTTATTCATTTTTGGCTCAGATAATTTCCTCCAGTTGGGGAATGCATAGAGATAAGATCTGGAACCAAAATCTCCCATGTCATTTCAGATAACTTCCTAAATTCTTCGCGGATGACAGGCATGACTTCTGTCTGTATTAGAATATGCTCGTGTTGGGCGTATTTGAGACAGACACCTGACTCCTTGTCAGCTAAGGTCCATCACTAATCCACAACAATACAGCCTTTGGGAGGAACGGTACAGTCATCTACTGAGCAATTTTTTACTCCTCAAAGAATTATTTCCTTTTTCAGACAAGATCAGGTCTCTGTTCAATGTTTTGGTGAACAGTTGAAAAAAAGTTGTGAAATCCTGAATGCGATTCGCGCCTTATGCTTACATTTAAAACAACAGTTTCAGAAATATGTTTACAAAGAGACCAAAAAAAAGTCATGGTTATATAGGATGTGCAACCAGAAAATGCAGACAGCAAAAGCACTTCTACTAAATGGAGATCTTTAGCAGCAGGGCACTAGAACAGAATACAGAAGCAGCAGTTGGATAAATGAGCACAATGATTTCACTTGCAGCCGTTTGTTTCCGTCTGGTAGAACGGGGCTGCAACTGACCAAGTATATTAGTACATGGAGGTGGTTACTATAGTTTAGCATCAGGTCTGCTTTATGAAAAGTATTAACCTCTAAGTATTTTAAGTTAATTTATGTATGTGAGGTAAATGTATGATACAAAACAAAAACAACCGTGAACACTGTCGTTTCATCCCCTTTTTATTTCTTGATGACAAATGAACAGCACAGAAGACATGTGGCAAGTTTACAATTTAAAATTGTGAAATAAGAATTTGCAGTTAGTTAGGCTTAAATTCTCTTTTCTTTTTATTTTGGCTATTTATATAAAATGTCACTGACAGAACATACAGCAGCAAAAATAGTCCAGCTCTTGTGTTTATTGGATGTGATAAAAATCAATGAAAATTCCTCCTTTAGTTCAAAAATTAAGCAAAAAAAATGCAATTCAAATTCTCCATCAGGAATATTCAAGAATTACAGTATTTAATTCCTTATTTTTTTTTATAGCTGACTGGTGTCCTTTAGATAGAGATATCAGAACTAGTATGACTGTACCCCAGAAGTCTGAGGCAGCAGCCACCTGTGTACGAATCCAGCAGGGACCGTACGTTGATCACCATAGGGCTAACTGGCTTGACAGTGCCTGGATGTTTGCAGTCTGGAGGCATCACGTCACTGACAGATTTTATCTCTGCGTGCTGTTATGGAAGAGGGGAAAGGTCCTCAAAGCTAATTAGCACACTCAGTTTTCAGAACTTGATTGGAAGCAGTGCTATAGTATACATTTATTTTCTATAATAGAAATATTTTTATGTATATTTTTGACTGCCCTATGTATATTTATATTTATTTACAGTATAGTTATTTCTCCAAGGAAAGTATAGTGTCTTCCTTGGTCAAAGATTTAATCACACCAAACAAACAAAAAAAATTGAAGACTAAGAAAATGAATTAGGCAGTTATTGTGATCAAAACAAATTCATTCATGTTATGTGAGGTTAAAAGTAGATCGTAAACGAGAAAAAAAATCTACAGATCGAAACATTGTTTTGCACTGACAAAAAGTTATTATGTTGGAGTTATTAAAGTTATAATGCAGGCTCCTTTTAAAAATGAACGTAGAGTTTGTCATTTAGGTATATTTTCTCTTCCTATTTATATTGAGATCCTTACTTTCTAAATCCTTTTGACATAGAATATGATGTATTAGTTAGTTACACTTCAAGCAGTTTATTATTTCCTATTATTTATCCACCACATTGTAGTTTGCTAAAGGCTAACAAAATTAGGTGGCTAATTTTTAATGTGAGAAATTCCAAAAGGAGCTTTTGGGAGTGGTTTTCAGTCTGCATTTACTGCTTTAGGTTGTATACTAGAACTACTGCCTCATGTTCCATGTTGGATTATTACTGGAAGAAAAACGTTTGTGCTTATATAAGGCTATATATTTCCACAGAAATTTGCCTTGTTGCTTATCACAGTGATTTTTAGACTGGGAGGAAAAGATAGATTTGGAGCATTGCACTGCCATATTCATGTTTCAGAGTGAGAACGGATTGGTGTGATTGTTTACTGCACAGAATTTGTTGAAAAAGTATCCTCTCTCAAATTTATTCTAGGTTGGTATGTTAATCTACCACGGAATAAATACTTGAACATTTTTGCTTTGATCCCGGCCTCTCTCTCTGCGCTCTTGAGAATACAGCAAATATTCTTGGAGGTTAAAGAAGGAATGGCAGAGGGGTGAAGCTCTAGTTGCAGTTAAAAAGCTGTTGTCTGCTAATGATATAGAGACTCCTGGTAGCTTTGTGCAAGGCTCTGTGTGTGAGATTGAGGAGGGAGGAGAATTTAAATTGATTGGATTTGCTTAGCTCATGTAAAGCGATCAAGCCTTTGCATACAAAACATGGATACATTTTCAAAACTTGCAGTGTTGTGCTGTAATATCAAAATATATGGATGTAAAGAGAGGCAACAGCGATGGACCTCTCTCTTTAACTAACATCAAGATTTTGGGGATGTCATAGGTGCATAGCTTTGGAATTTGACACTTAACTCCAGTTTGAAAATGTTTCTAATATGACGATTAATTCTCTAAAAGAGATAAAGCAACTTAAATAATATTTGAATGAAAGGAGGTATTTTCTTTTCATAACAAAACTGTGTGATATGTCTTGTTTTAAAGAAAAATGAGAATGTTTGTGATTTGTTAGATTTTCTTTTTTTTTTTTTTCCTCAGAAAAAATAAAAACATCCAATCAGGTAAAACAATGTCTGTACATATGATACGTTTTATGAGTTACATTAGCTTAAACTGGCAGATGGTGGATGAAATGCTATCCAAAGTTTTAATGACTATGAGTGAGATCATTTAAAGTGGGAAAAAAAAACAAATTGAGATGAACAGTTTTGTTATAGGAATTCATACCTGTGGTTCAGCTTCCAAGTTTATCTTGAAGGGGTGTGCTTTGCCATCTTCTGACACTTGTGGAGACCATAATTTAGTTTCTGTCCTATAAAAAAAGGCACGCAGAAATAAAATAACTTTAATTCTTTAATAATTGCAATAATCTATGTAAAATAAAATGCAGTCTGAAAATTGGCAGTTTGTTCTATTGCCTTAAAAATTCTGTAACAAAATATATTGTGTACTATATTTTACTAACAATGGAAAATGCATGTTGTTTTAATGATGTAAAACATCAGGAAATAATATATGAAGTAGGAAATAATATATGAAGTTACTAATTCTCAGTATTTTACAAAAGTAAGTGAATAAATTAATAATAATGAACAACAAGATGATTTTTATAATGATTGTAACATTCATTTGGGGTCTGCTTTTCAAAGTAAGGGGAGTGCAGTTCTACATATGTAAAGTGTATATGTAATAGAAGTTACACGGGTGATTTTTTAAGTTTGAGTAACATCAGTTACAATTTTGGTTTTGTTGTCAGTGGGAAGTTTTGCAATTCATTTTAAAATAACGTAATTATTTTTAAAGTAATGTAAAAAATTAGTACAGTGTGTTCACAGTAGTGCTGTTGGTTATGTAAGTATCAATATTTAATATTTTAAAATATGCACACATTTCATAGGCAGAATTACACTTACCTTACTTTGAAAATTCTTTCCTGAGAGAGTTGCTAAATGACATATATCAACTTGCAATAGAACCTGGAATTAAATATAGAAATTTCTGAACCTACTTCTGGGCTCTAGTAACTAAATAATGCTCCTTTTAAGAAACATACATCCTTAGTTGGAAAGAAATATGGTGGTCAGTTGCAATAAAATGCCATGCCTCCTGAGGGCCTGCCATGGGTAGAGCTGTTTGCTTCTTGGAGCCAGCTGGGAAGCATGTTAGGGGATTCAGATTAAAGGCCAAGCAAACTCACTTAGCAAATGGAGTGATGCAGGTTGTTCTTCTTGGCGGCTTTAGTGGAGAGGAAGAAAGGCCAAAATACCTGGATTCAGGTAAGTAAGGCATTTTATGTATATCGCTTTGCAAATCCTTTATTTGATGAAATGTGTTGTTCCTATAGACATGTGCTTTAAAAAAATCCTGAAAGCCTGATGAGATGTTGTTTTCCTTCACTGGGAAGATAATGCTAGCAGCTTTGCCTGTCCATGTGAGCACCTGAAACTGAGGCAGCTCTGCTCACAGAGAGATAAATGCACTCAGATAGCTGGTTGTGGTTTTTATTTCAGTGGTTTAGCTGACAAGCATTTGAAGAGTTACTTGTTTACATAAAACCAAGGTAGGGTTTATGAAGTCAGTAGGAGCAGTAGGTTGTATGGAACTCGCAGCGTAGGTAGTGAGTAGCCTGAGGGAAGCTGCTCTTGTTGTGCCTGAAGAAACGAGTGGTGTAGGGACTCTTGCCTGATCTGCAGTTGGTGAAGTAAGTATGGGTTTTCTAAACCATTTTGAACAGTTACTTTGCATAATTGCTTAGTTGGGTCATATTTTCTTTCAGTAGTGAGCAGAACTGTGCATGTATACATACCTCTCGATTTTCAAACACAGCTGATGAACGGCTGCTTTAATTTTCTCTTGGGCATCATTATGTGTCATGTTTTCTGTGCTTTGGCCATCAATTGCCACAATAGTGTCACCAGGGCACAGTTTGAACAGTTACTTTGCATAATTGCTTAGTTGGGTCATATTTTCTTTCAGTAGTGAGCAGAACTGTGCATGTATACATACCTCTCGATTTTCAAACACAGCTGATGAACGGCTGCTTTAATTTTCTCTTGGGCATCATTATGTGTCATGTTTTCTGTGCTTTGGCCATCAATTGCCACAATAGTGTCACCAGGGCACAGATTGGCAGCTGAAGCCTTGCCTCCAGGTGTAATCTTGAGGGGGGAGGGGAAAAAAAGAAAGAAAAAAAAATCCATTTTAACTTCTTAAGCACCATGCATTCATAAAAACTGGTAGAGAAAATGAACTTTATGAGGCTTCCCTGTTTTCTATGGGTTTGTGGGGAAAAATGGGACTGTGAACAACTATGACTACTCGCAAGAAAAACTAAATTCCTACTTTTGCTGGTTTCTCTACAGTTCAACTGTCAACTCACCATTTAAATGCTTTACATATCATAGCTTCAAACTAGATTTAAATTACCTTCACGTTTCTGCATTAAATAGTTTATGCTGGTTTTCTGTATTTACTGTAACTTGTCTTTGAATCTCCCTTCCTAGTCTCTATTGTATAATTTACGTAGAAAAAGTGGGTCTCCCTTGTAACTTTGTATGCTAACAGAATAGCAGATCTTGGGCACTTACATTACTGAATGTTCACGTTCATGATGTGCAATTGACTGCACAAAATAGAAAGCCACTTGTGATCTTATGGCACTTAAAGGAAATATAACAACAGTTAGTGTGTTTCATGTTGTTCTGGCCTCTTGTGTTGTATTTTTGAGTAATAGCTATGGTAATACCAAACCTACATTTTGCTCTTTACAAGTGTTTATTCCAGATCCTGAGCTCCTTGAAGTACTGAGTCGCATTGCATTTATGTAACAGAGACTCCGGACCTTCAAGGGACGAAGATAGTAACATTTACAGAAACAGCCCTCAGATTCTCTCTCTGTGCTTTTTATTTTTTATTACCTAGTTGATCATCTACTGTGTCACAGTTAAAATAATTGAAGTGAAACTTTCTTTCTGCTTTAAAATAAGCACTGTGGAGAGGCCACAATCTTGAATGCTAGCTAAGCATTTTCTAGAAATCTTTACTTGGCATCATCTGACTTCTTCTACTGTCTCATTTAAACAAGTCATTGGTCACTGAGTGGGATTCAGGTCCCTTAGCATAGACATGTATTGCCATTCTAGGTGCCCTTGAGTATCCAAGACAAGAACGTGAAATGGGTGGATGTAGCCCAAGAATTTCTGGAACTCAGGGTGACAGGTTGGTGCATCTAAAAATAACACTAACTGCTTATGTTTAAGCAGATGAATCCCAGTGTGAAGTAGCCATGTGTGATTACAGGCTTAAGGGAGCAGCATTTTTTTTTTCTGTGTGTGTGTGTAAAAGCCTGCCATGCGTGAAGTAAAAAAGGTATGGGACAGTTAATTTCACTGTGTGGTCTGTGAAAGTAGAAGCAAGTAGCGTCTGAGTGATTAAAAGCACTCAGGAAGTGTTTCAGAGGACTAAAAAATAGTGGATAGAAATGATTTTTGTTTTCCCTGTATCAAACTGCAGTGCATGTGCTATTATCAAGTCAGGCAAACTTTCTGAGTCGGTACTTATGGCCAGTTGTAGGTTTTTGCCTTCCGTTCACAAAAAAGATACATGAAGCATTAAGGTACCTGAACAATCAGTTTGAGTATGAACCAGTGAAGTTGCTTGTAAATTCTAAATCTGGAGGCTCTGAATTTTCTGTTTCTCAGACTAACAGCTGTGAGTGTAAATGAGCTACACCTTGACCACTTACACAGCTGTAGTAACGAAGGGGCAGAGTTACAATCACGCTTGTCGCTGTAACCTGGTGTGGCTCCTGCCTTTGCCTAGCATGTTGTCATTTTGCATGTGCCTGCGGCAGAAGTCCTGGCTTCTCAGGTCCTGACTACTAATGCTCTCAGAATCAAAATATAGTATGCTAAACTAGCTATGCTTGGGTCCTTCTTAAGCCTAAGCTTGCTTGAATAACCCTTATAATCAGTATATAACACTTTTTACATGACAGAGCAGATGGTTTGTTCTATCTGTGGCGTGCTGCAGCAAGGTACTGAGATAGGACCCTGGCTCACAAAGCAGCATCTGCCCAACAAGGTAAACATCCCTGCAGCTATGCTGTCAGCAGAACCTAACCTGCCCGGAGAAGTAGTATGCAATTTTTTGGATTTTCTTACTGTTGTCACCATCTGCAGGGATACCACTAAATTACTGGTGGCTGTCTGGTGGCAGCAAAGAGGGAAGAGGTCAGAAATCTGCATTTCCCTACTCTTGAGTTGAGTTGTTTATTGTCGGGCTTCTGGGCCTTGTCTGGGGGATCGTAGCCTCTTGATGGAGATGCTGAATCCTACTTGCCCCCGTGTTCTGGGGAGCGGAGCTATCTGCCCTAGTGAGCGCCGTATGGATTGTGTTTGGCCATGGTGCTTGCTCCCTGCTTGCTGAGACAGAGGTCTTGGTGGGGCCTGTGGCAGTTGTAGCCTTGGTCTGCAAGGGCTGTACAGGAAGTCTCTTCTGCTGTACTGTAGGAATCTCAGGTTTGGATAAATACGAGGATGTGTGTTGGGGCAATTCTGTTATGAAACTTTGAAGAATAACCCTTACACATAGAGGGTTTTAACTCTCTATGCATAAAACCTTTTTTTTGAAGAGAATTAAGAACATCTTCAGGGAAAGTACGTAAACATAAAGTTGGATTAGTATAAATATGTTCATTACAATCTGTAAAATTACAATTTATATTGAAAACAGAACTTGCAATTCTAGAGTTTATAACAGATTTTACCATTCCCTCCAACCTCTATAAAATTTAATCATTTCCATATTGCTTTATTCAGCATGACTTAAATTCTAAGTTTGAATTCATCTAAAAATATTTAGATGAAGATTTTAACTAAAACACTATCTTCTGTTCAAAATAGACTGAAATAATTCTATTTCATTAAGGCTAGGTTTTTGATCAGTCTCATTGCTATAACTTCTTTGCAGTTATGTAGGGTTACAGAGATATAAAGAAACATTTTCACTATTTTTAATAAATTTGTTATTTCTGTACTTAGCAGAATATGTCATTTTTAGTCCCCTCCTGTTCTTATCCTCCCAAGAATCATGATCTGTGTTTTTTGCAAATGTTTCATAGAATCATAGAATCGTTAAGGTTGGAAGGGACCTCTAGAGATCATCTAGTCCAACCCCCTTGCCTAGAGCACGTGGCACAGGACTGCGTCCAAGCGGGTTTGGAAGATCTCCAGAAAAGGAGTCTCCACAACCTCTCTGGGCAGCCTGTTCCAGTGCTCTGTCCCCCTCATTGTTAAGAAATTTTTCTTTAAGTTTCCGTGGAACTTCTGGTGCTTCAGTTTCCTGCTGTTTCCTCTAGTTCTGTCAGTGGCCACCACTGAAAAGAGACCAGCACCATCCTCCTCACTGCCTCCCTTGAGGTATTTATATACACTGGTCAGGTCTCCTCTCAGCCTTCTCTTCTCCAGGCTGAACAGGCCCAGCTCCCTCAGCCTCTCCTCATAGGGCAGATGTTCCAGGCCCCTGATCATCCTTGTGGCCCTGCGCTGGACTCTCTCCA